CCCCAAAACCCCAAAACCCCAAAACCCCAAAACCCCATATATTTTTATTTAATTTGAAAATATAAGAATTTATGAACATCAAAATTGAGGCTACCATTAAGGACAAGACTTACCTAATAGACTGCGGAGCAGGCAAACAGAGGGTATACTGGATAGCATCCACTGCTTGATCTCTCTTTGGGCAAGACCATTACCCTACAGGCATCTATATTCCTATTTATCTCTCCAAAATTGGTGGAGATAGATATATCTATCCTCAGATGCCAATAGAGAAAGTTCTAAAAGATGGAGATAAGGTTGCCATCACTGTTAAAGATTGCTCAGTAACCCCTACAACTGGGGAAAAGAGATGGTATGACCAAGCTTTTGGGAAAGAAATGCACATCATGAAAATTGAGATTGAATTTGACCCAAAAACTGAGCTTCTGCAGAAAGCGAGCAACGACATCAATGTCTACATTGAAGTGAATTACCAGATGTTCCCAGAACATGCTGAGGAGTTCTCTGACCGTCATTATGAAGAGGAATTTGAAGTACAGATGAAAAGAGATATCTTGACTGGAGATGTCAATACATTTGTGTACAACCTAGAGCTTCCATACGGAGATATAGATTTCAAGTACTTCTACACGATGAAAGATGATGAAGAGAAGAAGGAAATCTTAGCAGATGATAAGTCAGGAGTCATCGTCTCCATCACTCCTGAATACATTATCTCTGAAGAAGAGCAAAGGATCAAAGATGAGGAAGAAGAGAAGGAAAATAAACGCAGAGATGACCAGAAGAAGGAAGAGCATAAAAGAGAAAAAGAAGAACGTAAGCAAGAAGCTATTGAGAAAAGACTCCAGCTTGAGACTCAGAATAGAAACGCACAGAAGTTAGATATTTATTGGAGAGTCATGGATCTAGATTTCCATACTTCTCCAGAGAATGCTAATACTTCTTTGTCTATATTTGCTCTTTTCTATGACGAGATTAAGAGTTATTTTGAGTATTATACTAAGCTACAGTATCAGTTTTACACAAGAGTTGAGAACCATTCCATTACTCTCCACTCATTCATGCACTTTTTGAAGCTATTCAGAATCGCTGTTTCCAGAGATGAAGTAAGAATTTACTTCCAGCGCTTGGATTCGTTGATCATTCCTCCTCCTGAGAATGTCCTTAATGTGAAGAATGGGCTCAACTTTGCTCAGTTTTTGGAAGCCATAATGAGGATTGTCTATGCTAAGGTCGAAAACTCAGATGCTTCAGATGAAGAAGAAGAGTACAGGAGGATCATGACTGAGATTTTCAGGGATGGAACCATGGAAATTCAGAGAAAGAGCACAGAGAATCCAATCATAATCGGCCTTCATGCAGAAGATAGTCAGATTTTATTCTACGGCAAGTATAAGCTTCTTGGAGCGATTTATGAAAACAAGTCAGTGACCAAGAGCGGTATCGGTATTGGACTCTCTTTTGAGTTCTTCTACACAATTCTGGAAGAATCAGGTAACTTTTTGTTCATAAAAATTAGGCTTGGCTCAAGTTGAGGAACCAAAGGAGGATGACACCGAGAATTTGAAAATCTCTAAAGAAGAAGTGATGTCTGTTCTAAATGAGATTGAGGTCTTTGATATGGACATAGATGACGAAAATGATCCTAAAGTGCTGGTCTATCCAGACTTCTTAGATGCTCTAGTTCGTATAGCTGACAGACTCTCCCCAGATGTCGCCCAAGTATTAGAAGAGAAGGATTATTCTCCACTAACTGAGGAGAATGAGATGGTGAATATCAATATCACGAACAAGAAGCTTGTCTATGTTATCTATATGATCGAGCAGAAGTACTCAGGAATCGAACAAGAATTTGTCCAGTCATTGGAACAAAAGGATAATGACCTCAACTTCCAGTGCAAGATGGTAGTCAACGAGAGAGGAGATGAAGATTACGATGAAGGAGAGTATGACGAAGATGAAGGCGATGAGGATGAATATAACTAAGAAAATCAATATTGGACGCCTTCTTGGGGTTTTGGGGTTTTGGGGTTTTGGGGTTTTGGGG